GTTCTGCAAAGATAGGCTGCCGAACTGCCATGAGAGACGTCATCTCTGCAAGCGACAAGTTTTTGCACGCCAGATGGCTAAAGAATGTGCAAGAACGTGTAATGTTTGCCCGTAACACCGTCCACATTAGATGTTTTACCAAACCAGACCGATGTTTACATACCCAATTTGAACAGACAACAGAACTTGATCCCGGAATAATGCTTGAAGAAATGTGATTTTTTACCGTAAACATCAAGTGTCATATGTGATGACGCGGTCACTAATGTAATAAGATAATAGATTGCTTTAACAATTTATTTATATACTGGTCTTTTTTCAACAAAATATTATGTCATTTATTCACAAATACACAACTATCACAAAATTGCACACACAACAGCAGAAAAATAAAGGAATCAGGAATACGACAAGCCGATCTACAGAATGTAGAGAGGAAAATAGAACAAAATAAAATCACAACAGTAAACAAAAAAGAACAGAGAGGAAAAAAAGGATAAATAAAAAGGAAAGAAAAGCAATTACTGTAAAAGACTGAATTTATAAGTAGAAGCTCTAAAACTTCATGTAGAACTTTTCCCTACAATAATCAGGAATGCAAAAAAAAATTATATTACATTAAAAGATGAAGAAATAAAACTGAATTTAATCTGTAAAATTAATTTCGATTATTAACAAATAGATAACTGTTTAAGAAAACGCACGAAAGTTGTTTTCTAAGCCCGTATGCTAGGATTAACTGAAGCAAAAATTATAGTGATAAACAAAATTAGCTTCATCCATACTTCAAGCCTGCCTCAAAATATAGCAAACAAGAATTACATTATAAAAGACAGTTTCTTCAGATGGATATCAATCAGGAACTGCTGCTGCTCAATGTTGCCAGGAATCTGAATGCAAATTGAGTAAATATTATTGGTAAATTTACAGAAATATCATAGCTGACGAAAAGCATAGGATTTTTGAGAAATGAGCGGTCCCAGTGAGATAAATTTCTGCCCAAATACAACAGTCGATTGATAGGTACCATTCGCTTCTCATCTTATACATCTCTGTAACCAATGCCACTACTTCACTTATTTCTTTTAAAAAGAAACAATAATTACTCAAAACGCTTTAATTAGTTTACAGAAATTTACCGAATAATATTACAAAAAAAGTCATGATAAGCTGCGTCTAAAATGCAGCAAAAAGCACTTACGATGTTTCTAGTTGATTATCCATAATGAATTTGAGCAGCTCTTTGTGTTTGTTACAGGCTTTCTGTTCCTTTTCCTTATGACTATTGTACGGCGGAGGAGTAGCAGGAAGTGGAGGTAGACTACCTCCACTGATTTCACACTTGTTGATATGATCTTCGAGCAGGCTTATACGTAATGTATTCCCATTTTCGGTTGCTGAAGTGTGATGTTCTCCAACTGATACTAAAATTTTGTGACTTCCAAAGCTGTTAATTTACATCAAAAAAATATAAAATATCTGTTGAAAGCACAATGAAATTAACCTCAAATTTTCTATAAATTTTCTGAACGAGAGGTTTGCTTACTAGTTGAAATGTGAAAATCAATATCTTCAGTAGGAGTATTATCTTCAGCTATCGTTGTATCTTCCATATTTGACGATGATGTACTAATACCAGAAGTCGATGAACTGAAAGATTCCGAAGATGCAACTGTTGATTGAGAATGTCGTCTGCTCTGCTAAAATTATCATCCAGTAACAATTTTCAGGTAATTTTTTAACTGACTCTGTAGCTAATTATGAATGAAAAATGAAAAACATAATCCCTGATTAATGCAGTTTAATACAGTACCTGTTCAGCAAAGCGACTGTTTATTTTGCGTGAAGAACCACCAACGCCACTGGTGACATTCCACGAAAAGCGTTTCAAGACCTTGGGATTTTGTTTCATCACATCGATTCCATCTGAAGTATGGTATCGGCGCTCAAAGCGACGCCCCGTTAGCTAAAAACACTATCGACATTTAATTTTGGGAAAAAAAGCTTTTTGTAAAGTTTTTATAATGGGTTTTTAAGTTGACAGAAACAGAATAAGAATGGAAGAACCTGAGCGTTTCCCTGCGCCTCTTTATCGTTCTCTAAAAGATGCAAAGCTGGAGAATCTGTTCTGTTGTCCTGTCTTGACGAGATCCCACTCAAACCATCGGTCTCGGCAGCTTCTGCACTGTATTCAAGAAGCTCCCCAGGCTCTCTATATTCGTTGCTCTCGTGAACGGTACTTTCATCGTCCCTAAAAAGTTTTCTAGTGGTTCTTATTAATATGCTCTTGGGAAACTAAAAAAGTGTAGAACTAGCTATAATGATTTTTTTGGCAATACTCACACGGCATCTGTCCGTTCCAACATGCTTGAAGAACTAGATCGAGAACGACAGCATAATTTTGAGCATTCTCGCCTATCCATAAAATGAGCAGTAAGGTGTAAATCGAGAGAAGATTTTGATTGTCCCACATAAGCAGCTGCCAACTTAGCGCCACCATGAGGAACTGTTAACCTCTGCTGAGATAGAAGATTTGCTGTCATACGAGCATCCCACAGTCTGTCCAAATGATCGGCTGAGGACACTTGGTTGATATGGGAATCTAAATGTTATACTCAGTCACACAAATGTTTTTAGTCTTCAATGTTTTGTTATTCAGAAAGTAATAGTAAAATGTTTATTTACTTGTAAAACGCGATTGTTCGGCCAAAATTTGTGAGTCCATACTAGAGCATTTTCTGTGAACAATATCGGGTACAATACAGCTATTTAAATCTGCGTGACTACCCCCACCGTTACTTAACTGAGCTCGCATGTGTTCTCCGTAACAAATTCCTTCAGATTTTGTAAGCCCATTTTGTGTTGCATACGGGAACCCAATTAAGCACGACTGTGGATTCATTGGGCTAAAATAATGTATCTTCAGTCGTAACTACGGGAAATTGGCATCAAGAATATTTTTTTGGCACAGATATTCAGTTTTCTGATTACCAAGCAGAAATCGCTTCCTGTCCAAAATTGTTGGGGTCAAAAGAACACAGTAATCACTTACTTCAAACGGCTAAATTCGCGAAGTGCCATCTTTATCATTTCCAGCCACTTTTTGGTTTCTTCTGTTGATGGTGGATATAAGTAATAAAGGCAGGTTGGCATACCAAAGTCGTTCATTGCTGTTAACGCAAAACCCGCTAAAAAAAATAAAGAAGCAGTATTATGATGAGAAACAATTTTTTACTGTCCTTAATAACCAATAGTTGCGAATAACTTACACCAGTCAGGGAATGGTTGCAGACACATTTTTGCAATATGAATTGGAGGTTTCAGAATTCGCAGCCTATCCATACGCTTATTGGCCGCTTTGCAAATGAGGAATAGATCGGTGAAGAGGATGCAGTGCGCGTCAACCTTCAAAAAAGCAGTTTCTCCTCAATTAAGCCATTAGCATTTAATGTTTGCAACTATTTTAGATTGTAAAGGTCTTCTAACGATATTTGACATACCTTTTGCCCTTGTTTGCCGTCCCTAAGTTTTAAATCACTTCTCAGAAAGATACGACGAAACTGCGGCGGATTGTAAAAGAAAGGCATTGGATCGGACAGATGAATGCCGCATTTCATCGGGAATATCTAAATTATCATGTTAAAGAAAAACACAGAAAAGTTTAAGAATTCTTTTCAAGGTAGACTCCCAAGTTTTGAAAACTCACCTTTTCAAATTCTTCACAATCGACTACATCGTAACTTTCGATACATTTTGAAAGTTCGTTGAGTTTGTTCAACAAATCACTGTTTATCATTGTTTCCTCGACATCGTGCGTTGCCCTTTCAATGCGGGTAATCATTTCCTGAATAAGATATGTCTAGTTTACAGAAAAGTTGTTAAGAAAAAATATATCAAATCGGAATAGGAAGAAAAAAGTAACTATTAAAGTTACAACTGAAATGCTGCTTACAGTTAGTTTATCCCTCTCAGTATCGTCAACACTGTGCTTGTAAACTGCTCTGAGCAGAAGGCTATATCTGGTCAGACGCTGCATCGGATTCATAAGTGCATCAGACAAACGTTGTCTATTTTTCTGCATAGCGTCCTGCGATTCTGCCCACTGAATAGAAAATATAGAAGCACTGTATATTTCCATTTTTAAATGGTAAAAAGAGACGTGTAACATAAAAGTAAAAAGGCTATATAGTTAGCAGTTTTCACTTTAATATTTTAAAGAACATTAGCGATTAATTAAAAATTGGAAGACGCACCAGAACAAACTCTTTGAACAGTTCGTTCTCTTTTTGACATTTTTGAACATAGGCATAGCAGTCTGGATTTCCATACAAGAAGTTTGCGTAACTTGGCCACCATTCATCGGTGCGATCGAAACCGTTTTTCAGCAGGCAAGGATTCAGTGGTACTCCTCGCTCTCTGAAACGATATGGTATACAGCTTTGCAATGAAATCAGTATTATGAGTAATGTTTTTTTACAAGTTGGTAAAAATTAAATAAGAATTGAGTCAAAAGTGCAGTAAATCACCTGGTATTACGCAACATTGGAACGATAGCTTGTCTCCAAAATTGCATGTTATGTTCATACAATTCTGAGTAATTCAAAAATACGCGACGAGGATCAATGTCTTGTAAAAAGCCACATTCTTGTAATCGTTTTAAGTATAAATAAAGCTCATGCATTTGTTTCAGCATCTGCAATTAAAGAGTAGCATAATTCGCAACAGAATAAGAACACTTTTTTCCCTTCACTTGTAACTGGCAAAAAAACGGGTGTAACAGTAAGGTAGAAGGAGCTATATAATCTAACAATTTTTAAATTCTACAGCAATTTACCTGAATATATGTACGTTCAGTAGTCACCAGTTCCCAAATAGCAGCTTGCTGTCGTTGAGTTTTTTCGCTTAACTCAGCCTGAACCATAAAACTTATTTGCAATTGATAAAGCACAAGAGAGGCAAAAGAAAATCTTGAAGACATGATTAACCAGCGATATACTGATCAAAAAAATGAATTTGAAAATCAGTTACAATGCTCGACTGATTTAGTAGAGACAGCTCATTAGAAAATATACTAAAAGTTCCATGTAAATAAGCTGTTGATAATCTTCAACTGAGAATAATAAAGAAAATTTCTTAAAACTTACATAATCCTTAACAATATCTTTCCAGCTGTCCTCAAGTTCAAATGTAGGCACTGGTGCTTGCATTTCGCTTCTAAGATGCGCAAGTTGACTTAACATTTCCGATTTCTCCTAAAAATTGAAAGTTTTTGCAAATGCGGTCTTAAAATAAGTACTAAAATAATCAAGACCTTACAACTACATGAAAAAAAAATAAAGAATAAATGGTGAAGGTGAACTTACTCGACCAAAGAAAAGACTTCGGCGTGTTCCAGTTGAATTTCGAATTCTTCTTGATCCGCCGTCTTCTTGAACTGATGACGTTTCCTCAGAGCATGAAGGTTCATCTAATGGAATGCTGAAAGAATTATCATTACAAAACCGCTATAAACCGCTACTGATGAAAACAAACATCAAAGAAAAAAACTAAGTACAAACAGTAGATGGAAACTGTACTTTATTAATGTCAAGCAGAGGTCTAATAAAAGCTAAATAAACTTAGCAATCGATTTACTTACTTCAGTAAAGTTGGCTGACTAGAGTTAGAGCTTCTATTTATTTTTGTTTCAATACCGTCTACCGTAACAATCATGCATGGACTGTTCGATAGCGTTAGTGTTTGAGAACGATTCTTTGATAACTGAAATTTTAAGTAATTTTACAAGATTATACCCAGAAGATAAACTCCATTATAAATCAATTATAGAAGTGAGCAGTTCGTTAATGCCAGAAAAGTGTACAAAATTTCAATGTTCCATGAAAACAGTGAAAGACCCAGAATTATACAAAAAAGAAGTTTGGGGAAAAACTGTTTTAAGTGTTGCTTTATTGATGAGACTTTTATTAAAGTTAACAGTAAATTAAGCCAAAAATTGCAAGAAAAAAAAAGAAACATTATACGTATTAGATTTATAAAAAGTAAGGAAAAACGCTGCATAAACATTTAAATAATCGCTTTTATTGTAGAAAAAAGTCCAAACCTTTTTTTGGTTGTAATAATGCAATTAATTCGAAAAACCTATATAAACCTCGTTAACAAATAACAAAAATGAATATTTCATACTCATACAGTCCATTAAAAAAAAATAAAAACAAAAGAGATAAAGATGCAAAAATCTGAGGTAAGAGTACTTTGTTGTTCGTATTTTAACGTGAAGTTACCGCTGTAACTGGCCACGATGTTAAGGGTAGCTATCTTTAAATACAAAAATTGTCATCAACAACCGTAAATACAGTAAATGTCCACTGTTTTCTTTTTTTTTCTAATATAAAAAGCTGCATAAAAACTTTGCCTTAAAAGGGAAAAAAATTTACAAGTGATCGACTGGTGATGACAATTTTTAAAGCAACAGTCGTCTGTATTTATGGTCAACAGAAAGGCATCGAAATAAAGTTACAGGGTAAGGCACTACTGCATTGCCTTTTTTGCGCTGCCAATAAACTTCATAGTTGTTGAAAAACAAGATTCACTCAGTGAACACGAAAATTTGAAAAGTGACATGACAGTTTGTGTGAGAAAAAAAAATTAAATTTTTTTTTTTCGGGCAAACATAAATTATTTTCTAATAAATTTTACTTTCAGTGCATAATGACAACAGTGAAAAAAAAAAAAAAACGAAAAGAATATACAGTTATATAACAACAATAAAAACAAATTTTGTAACGGTTCTGTTATAAGTGACCAAAGAAAAAAAAAAAGAAAGTTGAAAAGAAGTTTAGAAAATTGATTTTATGAGCTCCGAAAATTTTCTGCCGTTATTTTGTGATATTAAGGAGAGGAAAGTCGACAATACAGTTTTCAGTCGTATCGGAGGTGCCTAAAAGCGTTTTCAATGATCGTCTTGGAACTGTTCACTTTGAACAATACCCTATCCATTTGCTGTTTTACGGAATGTCAGTTCAGTTTTCCGGAATCTAGCACTGCCCATTGCGCTATAGTTTTCTTAGTCTGCTACTGATGATGATGATCGTGTTGTTATTGCTTCTGCTATTGCTACTCGGTTACTGTTACAGCTTCTGCTAATGACAACGTTAATTGCTTTTATCAAAATTCAGCAATTACTAGATGAATAATCTCATTCATTTTATTTTTGACCTGCAAATCCCAGATACACTTAGATACACACACCCAAATTCATTCACATACAAACACTTGACAAATACTAACACTCAAACAAACAATTAAGACCCCTTCCATTTCCCCCCGTCTCTCCCCCTTCCCCTTCCCCTTCCCCTTCCATCCCCCGTTTAAGTTGGCAGTGGAACAAAATTTTTTTTGTTCAACATAACAAAAACGCAGAAATTAATTTAAGTAAATAAAAACAGTGGTGAACAATTAAAGAAGTAAACAACACAAAATGTATGACTAAGGGCAAATTTTGTACAACAAGTTTTATGTGAAGTTTAGAAATTGAAGAAAAAAAGTCACGTAAAAAAAGTTAACAAATAAAATACAAAAATAAAAATAAAATCTCTGGAGGAAAAAAAATCAAGAAAAGGAGTGAAAAAAGAAAAGAATTTGATAAATCTTACGAAATACTTCCACTAAACCGTGAAATTTGAAAACTAAAATAAAATAAAATAGAAGAATCTATTGAAAAGAGAAATAAATAAACAAATTATTGTTACAT